TGGTCTCTCTCTGGTCTCTCTCTCTGGTCTCTCTCTGGTCTCTCTCTGGTCTCTCTCTCTGGTCTCTCTCTGGTCTCTCTCTGGTCTCTCTCTCTGGTCTCTCTCTGGTCTCTCTCTCTGGTCTCTCTCTGGTCTCTCTCTCTGGTCTCTCTCTGGTCGCTCTCTGGTCTCTCTCTCTGGTCTCTCTCTGGTCTCTCTCTGGTCTCTCTCTCTGGTCTCTCTCTGGTCTCTCTCTGGTCTCTCTCTGGTCTCTCTCTCTGGTCTCTCTCTCTGGTCTCTCTCTCTGGTCTCTCTCTGGTCTCTCTCTCTGGTCTCTCTCTGGTCTCTCTCTCTGGTCTCTCTCGGTCTCTCTCTGGTCTCTCTCTCTGGTCTCTCTCTGGTCTCTCTCTCTGGTCTCTCTCTCTGGTCTCTCTCTCTGGTCTCTCTCGGTCTCTCTCTGGTCTCTCTCTCTGGTCTCTCTCTGGTCTCTCTCTCTGGTCTCTCTCTGGTCTCTCTCTCTCTGGTCTCTGTCTGGTCTCTCTCTCTGGTCTCTCTCTGGTCTCTCTCTGGTCTCTCTCTCTGGTCTCTCTCTGGTCTCTCTCTCTGGTCTCTCTCTGGTCTCTCTCTGGTCGCTCTCTGGTCTCTCTCTGGTCTCTCTCTGGTCTCTCTCTGGTCTCTCTCTGGTCTCTCTCTCTCTAGTCTCTCTCTGGTCTCTCTCTGGTCTCTCTCTCTCTGGTCTCTCTCTCTGGTCTCTCTCTGGTCTCTCTCTCTCTGGTCTCTCTCTGGTCTCTCTCTCTGGTCTCTCTCTCTGGTCTCTCTCTGGTCTCTCTCTGGTCTCTCTCTCTGGTCTCTCTCTGGTCTCTCTCTCTGGTCTCTCTCTGGTCTCTCTCTGGTCGTTCTCTGGTCTCTCTCTGGTCTCTCTCTGGTCTCTCTCTGGTCTCTCTCTGGTCTCTCTCTCTCTGGTCTCTCTCTGGTCTCTCTCTCTGGTCTCTCTCTGGTCTCTCTCTGGTCTCTCTCTGGTCTCTCTCTCTGGTCTCTCTCTCTGGTCTCTCTCTGGTCTCTCTCTCCGGTCTCTCTCTGGTCGCTCTCTGGTCTCTCTCTGGTCTCTCTCTGGTCTCTCTCTCTGGTCTCTCTCTGGTCTCTCTCTGGTCTCTCTCTGGTCTCTCTCCGGTCTCTCTCTGGTCTCTCTCTCTCCGGTCTCTCTCTGGTCTCTCTCTCTGGTCTCTCTCTGGTCTCTCTCTGGTCTCTCTCTGGTCTCTCTCTGGTCTCTCTCTGGTCTCTCTCTGGTCTCTCTCTCTGGTCTCTCTCTCCGGTCTCTCTCTGGTCGCTCTCTGGTCTCTCTCTGGTCTCTCTCTGGTCTCTCTCTGGTCTCTCTCTCTGGCCTGTGTCCTCTAGTCTCTACAGCCTGCGTCCTCTAGCCTCTACAGCCTGTGTCCTCTAGTCTCTACAGCCTGTGTCCTCTAGCCTCTACAGCCTGTGTCCTCTAGTCTCTACAGCCTGTGTCCTCTAGCCTCTACAGCCTGTGTCCTCTAGTCTCTACAGCCTGTGTCCTCTAGTCTCTACAGCCTGTGTCCTCTAGTCTCTACAGCCTGTGTCCTCTAGTCTCTACAGCCTGTGTCCTCTAGTCTCTACAGCCTGTGTCCTCTAGTCTCTACAGTCTGTGTCCTCTAGTCTCTACAGTCTGTGTCCTCTAGTCTCTACAGCCTGTGTCCTCTAGTCTCTACAGCCTGTGTCCTCTAGTCTCTACAGCCTGCGTCCTCTAGTCTCTACAGCCTGTGTCCTCTAGTCTCTACAGCCTGTGTCCTCTAGTCTCTACAGTCTGTGTCCTCTAGCCTCTACAGCCTGTGTCCTCTAGTCTCTACAGCCTGTGTCCTCTAGTCTCTACAGCCTGCGTCCTCTAGCCTCTACAGCCTGCGTCCTCTAGTCTCTACAGCCTGCGTCCTCTAGTCTCTACAGCCTGTGTCCTCTAGCCTCTACAGCCTGCGTCCTCTAGTCTCTACAGCCTGTGTCCTCTAGTCTCTACAGCCTGTGTCCTCTAGCCTCTACAGCCTGTGTCCTCTAGTCTCTACAGCCTGCGTCCTCTAGCCTCTACAGCCTGTGTCCTCTAGTCTCTACAGCCTGTGTCCTCTAGTCTCTACAGCCTGTGTCCTCTAGTCTCTACAGCCTGTGTCCTCTAGTCTCTACAGCCTGCGTCCTCTAGTGTCTACAGCCTGTGTCCTCTAGTCTCTACAGCCTGTGTCCTCTAGTCTCTACAGCCTGTGTCCTCTAGTCTCTACAGCCTGTGTCCTCTAGTCTCTACAGCCTGTGTCCTCTAGTCTCTACAGCCTGTGTCCTCTAGTCTCTACAGCCTGTGTCCTCTAGTCTCTACAGCCTGTGTCCTCTAGTCTCTACAGCCTGTGTCCTCTGCCTCTACAGCCTGTGTCCTCTAGTCTCTACAGTCTGTGTCCTCTAGTCTCTACAGCCTGTGTCCTCTAGTCTCTACAGCCTGTGTCCTCTAGTCTCTACAGCCTGTGTCCTCTAGCCTCTACAGCCTGTGTCCTCTAGTCTCTACAGCCTGTGTCCTCTAGTCTCTACAGCCTGTGTCCTCTAGTCTCTACAGCCTGTGTCCTCTGCCTCTACAGCCTGTGTCCTCTAGTCTCTACAGCCTGTGTCCTCTAGTCTCTACAGCCTGTGTCCTCTAGTCTCTACAGCCTGTGTCCTCTAGTCTCTACAGCCTGTGTCCTCTAGTCTCTACAGCCTGTGTCCTCTAGTCTCTACAGCCTGTGTCCTCTAGTCTCTACAGCCTGTGTCCTCTAGTCTCTACAGCCTGTGTCCTCTAGTCTCTACAGCCTGTGTCCTCTAGTCTCTACAGCCTGTGTCCTCTAGTCTCTACAGCCTGTGTCCTCTAGTCTCTACAGCCTGTGTCCTCTAGTCTCTACAGCCTGTGTCCTCTAGTCTCTACAGCCTGTGTCCTCTAGTCTCTACAGCCTGTGTCCTCTAGTCTCTACAGCCTGTGTCCTCTAGTCTCTACAGCCTGTGTCCTCTAGTCTCTACAGCCTGTGTCCTCTAGTCTCTACAGCCTGTGTCCTCTAGTCTCTACAGCCTGTGTCCTCTAGTCTCTACAGCCTGTGTCCTCTAGTCTTCTACAGCGCTGCTTAACACCAGGGCTTCGACTTCAAAATTCGAATATAATTCTAAAATAAAATATATACATATTTGAACAAATATTAGACAACCCTTATAATTAGAAATGTATTTAATGACTGCAAATAAAATAGTTAGCTCCCAAAGGTTTCACCGGGACGTGCTAGGCAGGTAACAGCTAAGCTAGCTAGTTGTTTCATGGTAACTTCCGGGTTTTTCGCGATCGCTTTTTGTCACTTTAAAACAGTATTTTTGGCATGAAAACGTTGACAGCAAATTCTGAAATCATCCGTGCATGTGTGTTAAGGATGTATATGTAAACTGTATTGTCTGATTAACGTTTAATGGTGTTGATTGATAGATATGTAGTTGTTTATTGAGCGTGGCTAGCTCAGCTAGCTCCGTTAGCTCCGCTAGCTTCTCTACACAAGTGTATAGTGACAGGCGCTGATAGCTTGTTGTACTTGCAGAGTAATGTTAGTATTTTACACTCCTGAATTACAAACAGAGATTGCGTTGGGGCTGCGGTCATTATTGGTTTGAGAGTTCAGTTATCAAGAAAAAATGATCGGAACAATTACATTCAAGTCAATGGAGTGTTCTGCTGCTGCTGTGAGGAGCTGTATAATAAATTATAATTAAATATTAGAATATATTCTAATGTTTAAATTAATACATCCGGACGCGAAACGTATTCTTTTACTTATATATTGTGTTAGCAGTGCATTGCTTTAGTGCCATTTCATCAGTGATTGTTGCACAGCTTACAAGTTACGCTAATGCTAATGTTAGCATACGTATCAGATCGCAAATAAAACTAGATGGCTCTGTGTTATGAGAGCGTAGAGGAAATGAGAACTCTGTGAGCGAGCTGGGGGGCGGTGCTAAACATTCAAACATTGCAGAAACGGGTATAGCGCCTTTAATGAAGTCCAGCACGGTGGAGACGCCCAGTCCCCCCGCTCTGTTCGCGGCCATCGCCGCGGCCCGCCTGCCATGTCTGACGGGCCTCACGAGTGGGGCACTCAATGAAGTCCAAGCACCTCAGTTCGGGTAAGACCTGCGATACTCCACAAGCTCGGTCCCGAATGTAGAGAAGTGTCTCTCGGTCGTACTTCACGGTGGCAAGTGTATCACAGACGAATATAAACAACATAGAACAGACAGTGCACACCAGAGCTCTTACTGAGGCGCCCTGACCCGGCGCCATCTTGCTCTCTCCTCCTCCTTACCTGGTGCATCAGCAACAACTGACACTAGACCGTGTCTGTGGCTTTATCGCAGAAAATAACGTTCAGAATATCACTACCGCTGGTACATTTATTTAAATCATTTGCAGTTGATTGAAGTGCACTGTGCACTCAAACTTGATAGGGAAACCTTTTTCTTAAATATTGACGTGTCCACAAACAAATGTGGACAGAATGTTATCGTCCTTTTGCAATATTTTGACGAGGACAGAGCCAAAGTGTTGACGCTCCATATCGCCTCAAGTAAAGCTACTCTCACTAATATTCTGTCAAAAAGTTTACTTGTTGCTTGATCCACTTATATTTCATATCAAAATACACTGTATATCTTTGAAGAATTCATTTGAGCTGTATTCAATATACAATCTATTATACAATAATATATTGTAATTACAAATATAACTTGGTCCTGCATATTACTGTGATTTACATCTGACACATTTCCATGCAAAAATCTTCAGTCAAATCTTTTTTTTTTGCTTTAACCCCTGCATTAGTCCTGGTCTTAGGTCTCTGTCTGTAGGTGAGACAGAGGTGGTCTCAGATGGTCTCTGTCCTGGGTCAGGCCTTGGTCAGGTCTGTCCTGGGTCAGGCCTGGGCCTGTCCTGGGTCAGGTCTGTCCTGGTTAGGCCTGTCCTGGGTCAGGTCTCACCGGGGCAGGGAGCTCTGGGTGAAGCCGTCGTCCTGAGGCAGCTGTGGCTGTGAGGGAGGGTCCAGGGTCAGAGGTCGCGGTCCTGCAGCCTCCGTCCCGTTTGTGGCCTGCAACATCCAATCACAAAACACTGATATTATCAGATTTCATCCAATCACAGCGGAGATCATTTACAAACAAAAGGTCGTTAGCATCGTTAGCATTGAAAGTTTTATCCATGAATCTGTTCAGACTCTGACGACATTAACTCAGATTGTTGGAGGTGTTTTACTCACAGACTGTAAATATAACGTTCTAACTAATGGGCCACAAATGTGCTCTACTGGAGCTATCCAAAATGGCCGCGAGTGGTCCCGCCCACAAGAAAATTGTGAAAAAACACATCTGCGCAGCGTCAGCCGGAGAGAGCTCCATTCATTTAAACAGAGACTTCTAAAGTCCACAGCGACTAAACTAGACTGGTCCAGAACACTCAGCATTGACACACATGTGGAACGGAGCTTTGGGCCAAGAGACACTTTTGGACCATCCTGTAAAGACGTTTTCCAGAGGTAAGAAGATGCTATATGTTAGCATTGGCTAATTCTACTTCCGGGTCCACCCCCACAGGCCCGGGGTGGTACTGCAGCATGTCAGGGTCCACCCCCACAGGCCCGGGGTGGTACTGCAGCATGTCAGGGTCCACCCCCACAGGCCCGGGGTGGTACTGCAGCATGTCAGGGTCCACCCCCACAGGCCCGGGGTGGTACTGCAGCATGTCGGGTCCACCCCCACAGGCCCGGGGTGGTACTGCAGCATGTCAGGGTCCACCCCCACAGGCCCGGGGTGGTACTGCAGCATGTCAGGGTCCACCCCCACAGGCCCGGGGTGGTACTGCAGCAGGTCAGGGTCCACCCCCACAGGCCCGGGGTGGTACTGCAGCATGTCAGGGTCCACCCCCACAGGCCCGGGGTGGTACTGCAGCAGGTCAGGGTCCACCCCCACAGGCCCGGGGTGGTACTGCAGCAGGTCAGGGTCCACCCCCACAGGCCCGGGGTGGTACTGCAGCAGGTCAGGGTCCACCCCCACAGGCCCGGGGTGGTACTGCAGCATGTCAGGGTCCACCCCCACAGGCCCGGGGTGGTACTGCAGCATGTCAGGGTCCACCCCCACAGGCCCGGGGTGGTACTGCAGCATGTCAGCGCACGTCATTTTGAGCCAGGACCCGCCCACACTAGTTTTACCTTGATAATAATAATACTGCCTTAAATACTACCTTAAATAGTCTACAGGTGGAGCAGCGGCTGTTATGGTTGTTGCCATGGAAACCACCTCCCTCAGCACCTGCTAACGAGCTAACAGCTAATGCTAATGAGCTAACTGAGGCAGCAACATGATTAGTGCCCACTGCGGACACAAGGACATTGTACCTTTGGATGAGACATATTCTCCCAAAGAGAGACCCTGGTCTAACCATGTGGCCTGACCATGTGGCAGACCCTGGTCTGACCATGTGGCCTGACCACGTGGCAGACCCTGGTCTGACCATGTGGCCTGACCACGTGGCAGACCCTGGTCTGACCATGTGGCCTGACCACGTGGCAGACCCTGGTCTGACCATGTGGCCTGACCACGTGGCAGACCCTGGTCTGACCATGTGGCCTGACCACGTGGCAGACCCTGGTCTGACCATGTGGCCTGACCACGTGGCAGACCCTGGTCTGACCATGTGGCACTCTGCTCCTCTGAGTTTTGAATGAATTAAAGATAGTTTGATTATCAACACTTTTCTCAGACAGGTACGTGGGAAAAGGTGTGGAGAATACACAACCCCTCTGTTTATAGTGGCAGGGAAAACCGGAGCACCAGGAGGAAACCTACACTGAGGAGAACATGCAAACTCCACTCAGAAAGGCCTGGTTTCAACCGTCCAACCCAGGACCTTCTTGGTGGAAGGTGCATGTCCCACATTTCTCTGGTACGTTTCCAAAAGGAGTAAATGAAATGGACCATGTGGACCATGAGGACCATGTGGGACCATGTGAACCAGTGTGGACCATGAGGGCCATGTGGAGCTGGATAAACCTGAGTTTAATGATGGTTCAGTCAGACCTGGAAGGTCCCCAGAGTTTGGTCTAAATGCAGACAGCTGCAATAACACTATTACAGTCCAGACCTAGAAGGACCATGTGGGACCAGACTGGACTCATCTGGTTCAGGTTTTCACTGCAACAACATCCGCACAAACAAAGACCTGATGTCAGAGTCTGTAATGAGGCAGTACCAGACCAGAGAGAGACCAGAGAGAGACCAGAGAGAGACCAGAGAGAGACCAGAGAGAGACCAGAGAGAGACCAGAGAGACACCAGAGAGACACCAGAGAGACACCAGAGAGAGAGACCAGAGAGAGAGACCAGAGAGAGAGACCAGAGAGAGAGACCAGAGAGAGACCAGAGAGAGACCAGAGAGAGACCAGAGAGAGACCAGAGAGAGACCAGAGAGAGACCAGAGAGAGACCAGAGAGAGACCAGAGAGAGACCAGAGAGAGAGACCAGAGAGACACCAGAGAGACCACCAGAGAGAGAGAGAGAGACCAGAGAGAGAGACCAGAGAGAGACCAGAGAGAGAGACCAGAGAGAGACCAGAGAGAGACCAGAGAGAGACCAGAGACACACCAGAGAGAGAGACCAGAGAGAGACCAGAGAGAGACCAGAGAGACACCAGAGAGAGAGAGAGAGAGAGACCAGAGAGAGAGACCAGAGAGAGAGACCAGAGAGAGAGACCAGAGAGAGACCAGAGACACACCAGAGAGAGAGACCAGAGAGAGAGGGGGGTGAGGAGGTGCGTCAAACTAATGAGGGTGATTTGAGGTTTGCTGCAGAAGAGACGAGTTTGAACAGATCTGAGGTTCTGTAAAGTCCTGACTCTGGACCAGCAGGAGGCCAGTCCCTGTGCTCCTCAGAGCCAGTCCCTGTGCTCCTCAGAGTCCCTGTGCTCCTCAGAGCCAGTCCCTGTGCTCCTCAGAGTCCCTGTGCTCCTCAGAGTCCCTGTGCTCCTCAGAGTCCCTGTGCTCCTCAGAGTCCCTGTACTCCTCAGAGCCAGTCCCTGTGCTCCTCAGAGTCCCTGTGCTCCTCAGAGTCCCTGTGCTCCTCAGAGCCAGTCCCTGTGCTCCTCAGAGTCCCAGTGCTCCTCAGAGTCCCTGTGCTCCTCAGAGTCCCTGTGCTCCTCAGAGTCCCTGTGCTCCTCAGAGCCAGTCCCTGTGCTCCTCAGAGCCAGTCCCTGTGCTCCTCAGAGTCCCTGTGCTCCTCTGATACAAATAAACTGTTTCAGTGTGACAGTAATGTTAGCGCTTACTCAGAGGCACTGACCTCAGCACCAGGGGACCCCCCATGATGGACAGAGTGTGGGGAACACCCTACGGGGGGGGGGGGGGGGGGGCAATGAAGCAATACAGAAACAGATGGGGAAGACTTTTGGCAGCGCACCTCACACTGCAGTAAGTCAATACAGGGCTGTACCCGAGGGGGACGGGGGAGTTAGGGAGGAAAGGGGGAGGGGGGTGAGGGAGAAGGAGCTGTGACGAATGGGAACAGCTCCAGCTGATACAATCAAGGTGAAAGTAAAGCCTGTGTTTAACGGAACAGAGTTTACATGACTGTAGGGTAGGATAGAGTAGGGTAGGGTAGAGTAGAGTAGGGTAGAGTACGGTACGGTAGGGTATAGTAGGGTAGGGTAGGGTAGAGTAGGGTAGAGTACGGTACGGTAGGGTAGAGTAGAGTAGGGTAGGGTAGAGTAGAGTAGGGTAGAGTAGAGTAGGGTAGAGTAGAGTAGGGTAGAGTAGGGTAGAGTAGAGTAGGGTAGAGTAGAGTAGGGTAGAGTACGGTAGGGTAGAGAGTAGAGTAGGGTAGAGTAGGGTAGAGTAGGGTAGAGTAGAGTAGGGTAGAGTAGAGTAGGGTAGGGTAGAGTAGAGTAGAGTAGGGTAGAGTAGGGTAGAGTAGAGTAGAGTAGGGTAGAGTAGAGTAGGGTACAGTAGGGTAGAGTAGAGTAGAGTAGGGTAGAGTAGGGTAGAGTAGAGTAGGGTAGAATAGAGTAGGGTAGAGTAGAGTAGGGTAGAGTAGAGTAGGGTAGAGTAGAGTAGGGTAGAGTAGAGTAGGGTAGAGTAGAGTAGGGTAGAGTAGGGTAGAGTAGAGTAGAGTAGGGTAGGGTAGGGTAGAGTAGAGTAGGGTAGAGTAGAGTAGAGTAGGGTAGAGTAGGGTAGAGTAGAGTAGGGTAGAGTAGAGTAGAGTAGGGTAGAGTAGAGTAGGGTAGAATAGAGGGGGTAGAGTAGAGTAGGGTAGAGTAGGGTAGAGTAGAGTAGAGTAGGGTAGAGTAGAGTAGGGTAGAATAGAGTAGGGTAGAGTAGAGTAGGGTGGAGTAGAGTAGGGTAGAGTAGAGTAGAGTAGGGTAGAGTAGAGTAGGGTAGAGTAGGGTAGAGTAGAGTAGGGTAGAGTAGGGTAGAGTAGAGTAGGGTAGAGTAGAGTAGAGTAGAGTAGGGTAGAGTAGAGTAGGGTAGAGTAGAGTAGGGTAGAGTAGAGTAGGGTAGAGTAGGGTAGAGTAGAGTAGAGTAGAGTAGGGTAGAGTAGAGTAGGGTAGAGTAGAGTAGGGTAGAGTAGAGTAGGGTAGAGTAGAGTAGGGTAGAGTAGAGTAGGGTAGAGTAGGGTAGAGTAGAGTAGGGTAGAGTAGAGTAGGGTAGAGTAGAGTAGGGTAGAGTAGAGTAGGGTAGAGTAGAGTAGGGTAGAGTAGAGTAGGGTAGAGTAGAGTAGGGTAGAGTAGAGTAGGGTAGAGTTATTTATTTGATGGTGAAAACACTAATGAACAATAATATAAAGTTATAAATGTAATTGTGGTAATTACACAATTGTATATTTTTGGTTCAAATGAAAATGAAATGATTGGAACATTACATCATCACTTATTCACAGGCTGTTCACTCTCGCCATGAACCATGTGGACAAACCATCGTCCAGTGAACCATGTGGACAGGGAAGGCCCAGTATCGTAGTCATACTTTATTACTTTCATACT